AAAGTTACATAATGATCACATTATTATTCGACTAAAATATTTCAATATTTATATGCCCACTTAAGTAATCATTTATCGTACTCGAATGATTCATTGAGACTCTTCCATTAATGTTGATATCCTATCGCGAATAAAGAGACTTGTAAAATGCACACAAAAGCAATCTGGATGTTTAGCTTATAAAATTCAATAGTATACATTTATTCTATACTATTTTATGAGGTTTACATACATAAACGTGCAAGTCAAATATGAACATGTATGTATTAAGTATAAAGTTCTATAATCCTTAATTAATGATTAGGGATTATCATACTTACACAAGTACAAAGAGTAGCAAATTGCAAATCAAATAGGTACATACTAAAGTTTTATAATCCTTTATTAATTATGAACATGTACACATTAAGTATAAAGATCTATAATCCTTAATTAATTATTAGGGATTATCATACTTAAATTGTTATTTTATTCATTAACTTATTGACTTTATTTGGAAGGAATTTCATAGTTTTTTATTTAGTATATGAATTTCTAAAGTTTATTCTCTCTTTTATTTCTCTTATAATAAGTTATGTAGGTTATATATATAAGCTTTGATGTATAAGACTATGATATAGCAATATTTAAGATAAAATTTTCATATTTATTTTCTAAAGAAAATTCGAGATCGAAAAGGAATTTGGGGTTTAGAATGAAATTGAGGATTGTGTTGCAACTTTTAAAAGTTGGGGGACCTAAATGCAAGCGTTTGAAAAGTTCAGTGACCATATTGCAAATGTACTAACGGTAGTGTAATGTCGGGGACCATATTGCAAACAGAATAAATGTTGGAGGGTTGTATTGCAAGTTTTAAAAGTTGGGGGACCTAAATGAAAGCTTTAGAAAAGTTCATCGACCATTACTATACTTTACCCTAAATTTTAATATTTTTAGATATTTAAAAGTTTAAATTGTTTTTAAATTTTTATTTTATTTTTCATTAAAGATTAAATAAAGCCTCATACTACTAACAAATGGTTGGTCTAGTAGGATAAGAAACTAGATTCCTTAAATAAGATCATGAGTTTGGATCCTGACATATGCAAATGGAGCAAACTAATTCTGGAGCAAACTGAGTTACGAATGGACCAAATAAAACCTCAAACTTAACAAAAAATAATTAAGCCCTCAAACTTTATAGAAAAATAATTAAGATCCTCTATCACATCATCACTTATATATAGATTGTTATGTCAGTACTGCATATCAATATTTTAATGACCAACAATAATTTTTATCATTTAAAGGGTCGCATTGATTATTTTTTGGGTTTGAGCTCTTAATTGGCTACAAAAAAGGTTCATGGGCTTAATTGATTTTTTCTCCAAAAGTTCATAGATTTTTCACAGCCTTAAACTATTTTTTTTTTATATTTCAGTAGCTAAAATAGAAATTCAGTGACTAGTGATAAAGTTTACCCTTTTATTATATTATTTTAAGATAAACTACATCAATAGTCACAAACCTATTATTTCTTTTATATTTTGATCAATATACTATTCTTTTAACAGATGTGTCAACAATATTATTTTTTTCGGTCATCAATGTTAAATATTTAACATGACAGCACAAACCAAATTACCTCAGTAGTTAAAAGAATGATTGTTATTCCTAGAGGTCTCGGGTTTGAATACCAACAGGTGATTGAGCGTTCATTGTCAAATGATTGAAAGTAATTAGAACATATACTACTTTGTAATCATTTTAGTTTAATAAAAAATATTCAACATAGCAACGAGTTATTAGCTACATATGTATTTTGCCAATGGATTAAAATAGAAAAGAAGCAACAAGTTAGCGGCTACATATGTAATTTGTCCAATTCTTTATTATTCTCATGAAACAAGAAACTTCGGGGGATAGAGATGAAGTTATTTGAATGGATTGTAGCTTAGAATGATCTGACTTCAACTATTAATTGGGACATTGTTTTTTGAATAAAATAGTTGAATATCGGTTTGCCATAACTTATAAGCATCAATAGTCCAGTGCAAAACCAACTGCTATTTTCTTTTTTATTATCTCTATCCCCATCATTAATATAAAAAGTTCACAAATATTAAAATAGTCTAAGAGAGAAGAAATCATTTTTAGTGGTTAACAAATTAGGGTTGAAAAAGAAATGAATAATTATTAAATAAATTGATTTTTTTAGAAAAATGAAAGACCTAAACACCTATATAAATTTTTTTCTATTTTATAATTGGTAAATAGTGAAAGGAAAATTGATTTATTTTTAAAATTTATCAAAAAAAAAAAAAGAAAGATGAATGGTATTTTTTTTATTATTTTAAAGTTTATATCATTAGTAAGAGCAACTCTAACATACAATATTATAAAAAGTAAAACAGAATGCTGAGTGAACAAAAATATAAAGCGATAAGGCCCTGTTTAACATTGTTTTTAGGAAGAATATTTGGGGTTAAAAGCACATTTGAAGTCGTAAATAATGATACAAATATAATGTTTTTATATATAATTAATTTAAATTTTATACATTTTTATAAAGCACGTACACATTAAAATATTATTTGTTTTTATATGTACAACTTAATTACTATAATTTTTTTATATAATTTTATGGTGAATATAATGTAGTATTTGTTTAAACTCTCAACTATTTGACAATGAATTTTTATATCTCTACAAACGTGATGTTCGAACTCGAGACCTCAAGAGATAACAACAATCCCTTAATCACCGAGATCCCTTCATTCGTGTATAAGTATTACAAATTAAATTAATTAATTTCTAATTTATTATAACCAATCACCCATCGTTACCTTATTAAATTTAGACTAGTCATACGTAGCGTTTCAAACAGATGAAGGCAAAACTTCCAATCTTTTGATCATCTCTACCAATTCCTTAATTCATAACGAATTTGACGTAATAATTATTATTGTATACAATTTGACCTAATCGATTGGGAATGTCAAAGCAAATTAAGAATAACCAAAACTTAAATATCCATATATACATCCAACTTATTATTATATTACCTCTTTGGTAGGTTCATCAACCAAAAAAATTTTGCTTTAATATTTTAGTTGTTAAAGACTAAGGCCATGAGTCTTTGAATATTCATGTTCGACTTCCATTTCTCATAAATCATATGAGAATTATCTTCAAATCTTGTTTTAATTTAAATCTCATTGTATGTTCATCCTTTTCGAACATATTTCAATTTTATTTTATAGAATTATTAAAAATATAGAGTCAAACATCTCAATCATTGGATATAGATATATGAAACTAAAGTCGGTTGTTTTGTTATCCCCTCAACTAACTAATGTAGTGAAACAATTAATTTTTCTCCAAAACAACATAGGCAAATGTTAGAAAAATAAAATCGATGTGTGGTGTTCCAATTTAAAACAAAAATAATATACATTCGGGAGAATGATTGAACAGCTCATTGAGGTTCCAATATTCCCAAAGATCTTAGTTATTATTAAGAACCGTATTTTTTTAATTAATCATTGGTATTCAATCTATTGACTTACTAATCCAGATCGGGTACTGCAGAGGTGAGGGTGACCTTCCCAACCCAGTTTACTTCATTCGCAAACACCAGGATTTGAACTCTTGTTCTTGCTTAAGGGACCTAGTGCCTCATCCCACTTATCGATTAATAACCGTATTTTTAATTTCATTTTCAGTTGCACGTCTTTGCGGTTAAGCTACAGGGTGGAAAGCAAAATCCCCTCCAAAGGTCAAAATTTGTATAAGGTCCCTGCACTGTGTGCTAATTCCGTGGCCTATATCTTTTAGACATAGATTGATATACATCTCGACATTTTTTTAGAAATCAAGAATCATTCTTTTTTTTAATGTATCCAATCTATTGAACGACTAATCCAAATCCGGTACTGTAGAGACGAGGGAGACTCTCCCAACCCAGTTTTGCTACATTCACAAACGTCAGGATTTGAATCCCTGACCTTGCTTAAGGGATCTAGTGTCCCATCCCACTAACTCAACTGGTTGTTAGTAAGAATCATTCTTTTAGTTATGTACAACTAAGAGGGAATATATTTTCCCACGTCGTAACAAAAAAAAATCGATTTCTTCGAATACAAGTTAGGGGAAACTCAAGCCCTAAATTAAAATTGAAACCTTTTATTCTTTTCAAATGCTCATCTATTATATGGCCCTTTTCTTATGTGGAAAGGTACAAATACTATCACACTTAATGATAATAATAAAGACAACATATTTGAACCATTACGAGTCTACGGGTAGAATTAATCATCATAAATCGTGTAAAGAATAGAATTTAAACAAAAATAATTTTAGACGTGATCTATAAAATACGATTTAAATTTTCATAAATTTAAAAAATATATATAATTTATATAAAATGAATCTCGGACATGAACATAAACAGTTAAGATCTCGACACTTTAATCTTATTATTTCAATCAAAGATGCCTACTTATTTTTTATTTCATAAACTAAATGAAATTTTACAAATAATGGGTTATGCAAGGATATGAAAAGATTTTGGATTAATTAAAGAGAAATGCATGAGTTTTGGGTTGATTTGTTTTTGTTTTTAATGAAAATCTATTTAAAACCATGTTATCCTCTTGTTTATTTTGGATAAAAAAATGCACAATAAATGTTTATAATTATTTAATTTTAAGATCGGAATGAAGGAAATGCTGTACTTCAAGATTAATTAAAAACTAAATAAATACTTTATTAAAAGAAAAGTTAGAAGCTCAAACCAAGAGCCAATTTCAAACCTTAGAAATATTCATATAATTTATATATAAAAATCACAATTTAAAAACCAGAAGAAATGAAACCATCGTTTTCATTAATTAGAACAAGCATCGCACGCGACACCACATGCGTGTGGGATTCACAAAGCCACCATTGCTTCTCTCCGATCCTTCACTATAAAGAGCACCCAAACTGACAAGCCTTGGTATCATCTTTAGCAGCAAACAAAAAACATATGGCAAAAATGTCAGCCCCTTATAATTTTCTTCTCTCAATCCTACTCTTTCAACTCTTGTTTGCGTCTCAGCCATGTCACCTTATCCTCACCTCCGCCGCCGATGGTCGGTGGCAGCTTCTGCAGAAGAGCATTGGTATCTCTGCCATGCACATGCAACTACTCAAAAACGACCGCGTTGTCATGTTTGATAGAACTGATTTCGGGCCATCGAATCTGCCATTGCCCAATGGGAAATGCCGCAATGACCCGACCGACACTGCTCTCAAAGTAGATTGCACCGCTCATTCGGTGGAGTACGATGTTTTGGCCAATAAGTTTAGGGCTCTCACGGTCCAAACCGACGTCTGGTGTTCTTCGGGCGCCGTCATGCCTAACGGAAATTTGGTCCAAACTGGCGGTTTCAACGACGGAGAGCGTCGTGTAAGGGTTTTCACCCCGTGCGGGACTTGCGACTGGCAAGAAACGCCGAACGGATTGACGGCGAGAAGATGGTATGCCTCCAACCATATATTGCCAGACGGAAGACAAATCGTTGTCGGTGGTCGGGGGCAATTTAATTACGAGTTTGTTCCTAAAAACAAGGCTGCCAACACGTTCAAGTTGCCTTTCCTGTCGGAAACCAATGAACGGGGAGTGGAGAACAATCTCTACCCTTACGTTTTCCTCAATGTGGACGGAAACTTATTCATTTTCGCCAACAACCGTGCTATTTTGCTCGATTATGTGAACAACAAGGTGGTGAAAACTTATCCGACGATACCAGGTGGTCAGCCTAGAAGCTATCCGAGCACAGGCTCCGCCGTGTTGCTGCCATTGAAGAACTTGAAAGCAAAAGCTATTCAAGCTGAAGTTTTGGTCTGTGGTGGTGCTCCAAAAGGATCATATCTCCAAGCATTACGAGGTAGATTCATCAAAGCGTTGGACGATTGCGCCCGAATCTCAATAAACGACCCGAACCCACAATGGGTCCTCGAAACCATGCCTCTAGCTAGAGTCATGGGTGACATGATATTGCTTCCGAACGGCAACGTTCTGCTCATAAACGGAGCAGGTTCCGGGGCAGCAGGATGGGAGTTGGGGAGGAACCCGGTTATGAATCCGGTTTTGTACAAACCTAATAACAAAATCGGGTCACGATTCGAGACGCAAAACCCGACAAAGATTCCTCGGATGTACCACTCGACGGCGGCATTGCTTCGTGATGGCAGAGTTTTGGTCAGTGGAAGCAATCCTCACGCGTTCTACAACTTTACGGGTGTACTTTTCCCTACTGAACTAAGCATAGAAGCATTCTCTCCGGGTTACTTGGACTTTAAATTCAACAATTTCCGACCTGGCATTATTGCTCCGAAGTCAACGTCGACGATCGGATACGGTAAGAAGTTGACCGTTCAAGTGGTTATTACAGGGAGAGTAGCTAAAAACTTGGTGTCGGTGACAATGGTGGCGCCGGCTTTCAACACACATTCCTTCTCCATGAATCAGAGGTTGCTTGTACTTGGGAACGACAACATGACAGCTTTGAGGAGATCGAGGTATAGCATTGAAGTGACGACGCCGAGCTCCGGTAACCTTGCGCCTGCTGGGTATTATCTTTTGTTTGTGGTTCATCAAGACATCCCCAGCCAAGGCATTTGGGTGAAGCTGCAATAAAATAAAGGGTAATTCATTCCATATAATATATTCATTTAGATATATGTGTTTATTTAACCATAATTATAAACGTGTCCTCTACAAACACCCAAATGTATTCACAATGTAATGTTTCCATCAATAAAGAGGATCTATTGCTCATTTGTCAACTGAGGTCCATTTTGTAACATGCTCTGTTTTGAGGATTTTCTCAAACACCGTAATTTCAATGCAAGCTGTGGGTATTTAAATACAATTGAAACAAAATGCATGGAAATCAATTCAAGTATTCAACACACCTCTTTTTTTTCAACAATTTTATTCATTAATAAAATTATTAGTGCAGTGATAAAAAAATATTTTTTGCTTAATTTTTTAAATCAAATTTTGAACAATTCCTTCTTTTATGAGAATAAACTATTGTAATTTTAACAAAATAGATTAGCCTTAGCCGATTGTTACTGTAACTCACTGCCTAGGTTTTTAGCCCAACCGTGAAACAGTGGAAAATCACGTTCTTTAGGACACAACGTAAGGAAAAAAATCTTGTCTTTCCTCCTTCAACACTTCGTTTCCACGGATTTTCCCAACTTCCCAGAATTTCATGGCTTGATTCCCATATACTTCCTTTGAAATTCTTTCACTGGTGAGCTTCTTCTTCTTCTTCTTCTCTTCTACACCCACTCTTTTTCTTTTAATCATCGATTTGGCTTAAAACCCATCTTTATTATGCTTAGTTTTAGTTGTTTCATGCTTCTGCTCAGCTGCTTTTGGTTAATTTTCTTGCTCGGTGCTTTAAGGGAGCAAGGGAAGAATGCTTTCTCAAGCTCATTTCTTTCATTTCTGGGGTTTTAAGATTTTTTTGGTGGATTGGGTTCTTTTAAACAGCCATGGGAGTGAAATTTTAAGGCTTTTGGTATATTAGCTCTTCAACTAAGAGTTCAATGGTTCTCGGTGTTTTTAGCTTTAGCTTAGGACTGAAAATACTGTACATTACATATATTGGCTTGTGGAAGAATCAGGTCTTTTATCTGTTCATATAGTATTTTGTACATAAGTTCAGCTCTTAATCAATAAATGTCTGTAGTTCTTTGTATGGATCGATGTTATAGAAAAGTGATCTCTAGAGGGTGATGTTTTTGCCTTTAAAGCTTCTACTTTTGAACCCTTCTGATTGATGGGTAATGTTGATGTGTTTACGGCTATTGGGGGGGTTATACTTGTTGATTAAACAAGGAACTGATCGAATTCGTGCTACTAAATCAAGAATAATTTTGTTCCTTGTTTTCAATGATGTGTTTATGCATTAGTTTTTATTCGGGGAAGATCAACGGCTGAAGGATGTGGTGGTGTTCCTTATACAGGTTTTATATAGTAAGATGTTAGCATTCTCCGTGGGATGATATCGGCGCTTTTTCTGATAGTAATGGAGTAATCATCTGCTGTAAATAACTTAATCTTAATAGTTCTCCTTCCACCTTTTCCGCTATACAGGATTTTCTGTCCCAGAGTGATGTGATGTTTACTTGACCGAATACCACCCTCAGAACAGAGTTTTGAGACTTTCTTTGTTGATCTCAACAATTTGCTGTATTCTCCAATGGATGATGTTGGACATCGTGAAAATGGAAGAGTTAAAACGGATCAGTATAGAGCAGCTCAAGGCCAGGTACCTTAAGGGTTTTTTTTTCTTTCTTTTTTTGCAAACTATATAGATACTTGATTGATGTGAAATTACATGAATGAATTAACTCTCTCTGTGATTAATGTGTTCAATTTCAGCATTTTCTGAGAACTTCTGTCAATGATAATTTTTATGAGGATTGTTGTTGCAGTGGCTGATGCATCAGCCATCAATGAAGCAGATAATGGCCCTTATGGCCGAACGAGATGCTGCTATTCAAGAAAGGAATTTAGCTCTTTCCGAGAAGAAAGCAGCTATTGCTGATAGAGATATGGCATTCTTGCAGCGAGACGCAGCAATTGCTGAACGAAATAGTGCTATAGCAGAACGAGATAGTGCCATAGCGAATCTGCATTATCAAGAGAACTCCTCGTCATCTGGTAATATGTCCTCTTGTCCGCAGGGGCTTCATATGTCACGTGGGATGAAGCACATGCAACATCCTCAGCAGAACATTCACCATCTGCCCCACATTAGTGAAGTTCCTTATAACTCGAGAGAAATGCATTCAGCTGGTTCCCTTCCGGTGATGCCAGGTACCTCTGAAGCCGCAAAGTCAAGACAGGGTAAACGAGCAAAAGAGGCCAAGGTAATTGCAGCTAACAAGAAGGCTTCAAAGCCTCCTAAAAAAGTAAAACAAGAAAATGAGGAATCGAACAAGATTATGCCTGGCAAGTCACGTGAGTGGAAGGGTCCACAAGATGTGGATGGTGCTGGTGATGATCTCAACAAACAGTTAGTTACTGCAAAACTCGATTGGAAAGGTAAGGATCTGGGATTGAATCAAGTTGTATTCGACGAGTCAACCATGGCACCACCTGTTTGTTCATGCACGGGAGTCCTAAGACAGTGCTATAAATGGGGAAACGGTGGATGGCAATCTTCATGTTGCACAACCGCCTTGTCTATGTATCCATTGCCAGCAGTTCCGAACAAAAGACATGCCCGGATCGGTGGCAGAAAGATGAGTGGAAGTGCTTTCAACAAGCTGCTTACTCGGCTTGCAGAGGAAGGTTATGATCTGTCCAACCCCGTCGATCTTAAGCATCATTGGGCCAAGCATGGGACAAACCGCTACATCACCATCAAGTAGGCTGTTTAAAAAACCAAATGCGTATCGGAAGTTATGTAGCATTAGAGAACAGTCGTTTGGCGTTCATGTTTCCATCCTTTGTCAATTTAGCAGTGTAGGAAAAATAAATGATCCGGAAATGACACTAGGTGGGTAATGCCAACTTAATTTCGGGTTTACTTCGAAACGGCCCCTCTGAGCTCTCTCTATACGGCTTCGATCCTCCATGAGCAGACTGGTATACAAAGAGAGGATAAAGGATATATGATATGGTCTCATCCAATCTTGGAAAAATGATGGGGTTGTCAACTTGCCACTTTGTAGCATGTAACTGAATTGAAAAAGTATTGTACCAGTTGTACTTTAATGGAGTTTCAGTTTACTACCTTAATCCACCAAAAATGTTTGCTGGAAATGGAATATTACTTTTATGGGGTTGTCAACCTGACACTATGTGGCATGTAAACGTCATTTGGCTTTCACTCTCCTTGAGAGTATTCTCACGATGCCATCTATATGGAAGCCTCAAGTGCAAGAAAAATAGAAAATTAAGAACCAAACTAGAGAGGAATCGCACAGCAAAAAAAGGACTTCTAGAGAAAAATGGTCGAACAAAAAGCGAGAGCATTATCAACGACGGAAAATTACGGGAGAGTTTCTTGGTAATATAAAAATTACCATACAGTAAGCACCAACAAAAAAAGGGAAATTCATTTTTTTCGTCCTTTACGTTTTGCCAGATATTTCATTTTTTTTAGTTTAGTGTTATTTTAATTTTAATTATTGTCTGTTATTTTATTTTTGCTTTGATTTAGTCCATGTTCATGTTTATCTATTTGTGATTTAGCCATCTTATTTTCAATTATTTGTCCTTGGGTTGTTTATCATAAGTATTGGTTCATTTTAGCCCCAAAAATATTAGGAGAATGTCTATATTTATGCTCTTTTGATTAGGCTGCTTAACTTGTGATTAATTTATGGGTAAACTATATGAATAGTCCCTTTGTTTTTGTCCTAACTAACTTTGATCACCGATTTTTAAATTAAACGCGGTTGGTTTCTTATGTTATCGGTACGTTCGGTTATGTCCTTCAACCATTAACTTCCGTTAACTCATTAACATAAATATTACTTTACAATTTAAAAATAATAAATAAATCCACATAGGTCACTTATATTGTAAATTCACGTGTCTTCTTCTTGGGGTTTGTATTTCCAATGAGTAAAATAACTCATATACTCGACACCACCAACTGAAAACATGTGATTTTTCAAAAATAATACCTCAGAAATCCTTCTGCTTTCCCTCAATTTCCCTATTAAAGAACAAGCACATAAACAATCCCATCTCTTTTTATGTCGATAAGGGCTAAAAAAGAGCAACAATTTGTCAAAGAAGGTCGAGTTGAAGAGAAGGAAAACTCAAAAGATGATACTAACGAGACTACAATGTCGGAAGCTATTGTCTGTTTGCTTATAGACCCGTTTGTTCCTTGGTGATTGAACAGAAAAATGTAAACAAGCTTCATTGTTGCATAACTTTTGTTCAAGCTGATATGTTAAAAGAAAGGCTTCAACTCCATGCTTGTGTAAACTAAAGTTGTTTTATTACTAATATTGTTCATTATTAAGGTTATGGAAGCTTTGCTTCGAATGTTTCATGAACCTTCTTGGGAATCTAGTAAATACAAAAGAATTAAACAGTTCTTGCATTGTTTGATGATTAGTATGTGATGTTGATTTTTTAAAGGAATTGATTGTTGCAGAAAAGATTTTGTTTCGGCCTAAGAGTCAGATATTTTTACATATATCTTCAAGTGTTTTTATTTTATATATAATCATTTTAAAGAAACTAAAAAAGGTCATAAAGTTGAGCTTTCTTCGATGCCTGTAAATGACGTCTTAATGTTGACGAAGTTGTTATCGTTGTACTCCCATTTAAGAATATCTTTGGGGTATAGAGAGCTTCATCGAGAGAATCAGGCTCCAAGCCGGTAACCATGGAAACATATAACTTACTATTTGTTACATTTTGACACAAATTATAATTAGTAATTAAGTTAGATTTTATTATAATTTAGTGATTGAAAATTTCTTGGTAATTGACTTTATTTAATAAAATAAATATTTATTTTAGGTAATAATTCTTAAGGAATAAGAATTCTTGATTGACCAAGTATTTGATTCTATAAATAAAGATCATATCTTAACCTTTAGAGTTTTTTTGAAAAGATTTGTTAGAGATTGACTCGAATTCAAAGTGACACAAATTAATTAATATTTAAATTTAGGAAAGTAAGAATCTTAGTTTGATTAAAAGTATAAAACTTTATTAAAGTAGATTTCTACTCTATTTAATTTTTTTTTTGTAATTAACTATTTATACCTATAAATAGATGTTAAGGGTATGGGTTAAATATCAAGTTTTTTATTCTCCAATATCCTCTTGTATTTTCTTCCTTTATATTAGTTAAATTCTTCTCCTCTGCTAATGGGTTTTTCTTATTGGGTTTTTCACGTAAATCTTTGTGTTATTTATTTTCGATCATGATTATTTGTTTGTCGATAACCATTTCAATATTATAATAAATTGGTATCAGAGCACTGAGTTGAAGATTATGACAACAATGAAGTATAATATTTTGTTGTTAGATTAAAACATCAGATTCTCGATATGGCAATGAAAATTCAGGATGTTCTTGTACAGTTAGATCTCGACGATGTAATAGAAGGATTTGATGAGAAGTCGACGACATAATGGATGAATGAGGAAAACGTAATGATCGTAAAACTCTTTATCATATTCGTTTATATTTATCAAACTAAATTTTGTAGGATGTGTTGAAAGAAAAAATGTACATTTCTTTATGGGCGAAATTAGAGTAACTATACATGCTGAAATCATTGTCCAACAAGTTGCACTTAAAGAAGTGTCTTTATTCGTTCAAGTTGACGGAAGATTTGTCACTTGAAGATGACTTGACCACATTCAAGGAAATTATCTCTAATCTAGAAATTTTAGAAGTAAAAAATGACCAAGAAGACTTAAGATTGATCCTCATATGTTTACTGTCTCCTTCCTACTCATCTTTTAAAAACATGATCCTGTACAATCACAAAACAATAACTTTTGAAGAAGTGTACAATGACTTGTACTAGTTTGACAAGATGAAGTATCTTGTATCTAGTTTTGAGCCCCAAATAGAGGGTCTCGTGGTGCATAGATCGACTAACTCAGACCGTGGAAGAAAAAATGAGCGTTCTTCTTGTAATAAAGAAAGAGGCAGATCAAAATCATCTAACCGAGATAAAATTTTTCACTTTTTTTAAAAGAAAAGACACGTTAAATTGGAGTATTATAAGTTACTGAATAAAATTAAAAGAGAATTTGAAAATTAGAACTCTAGAAAATCTAGTGAGGTCGGTGTAGTAGAGGAGTGCGATGACAGAGAACTCCTAGTTGTGGCTGACGAAAACTCTATAACAACTTATGAGTAAATACTTAATTCTGATAGTAGTTTTCATATGAGTCTCAATTGTGACTGGTTTGCGACGTATAAAATTGTATCTATAGGTAATGTATTTTTGGAAAATAATGTCTTTTGTAAAGTATTGACACAATCAAGAATAAGATGTTCGATGGGATTATTCGAACACTTGGTAATGTGAGACATATTCCAGATTTGAGTTGGAGTCTCATTTTGTTGGGTACCTGTAACACCTCAACACGTATCCGACCCGGATACGCGTCTGAGATGTCACATTGACTTTTAAAAACCTTTTTCTTACAAAATAACAAAACATTTGAACTTATTTTAAGAAAATACGATCATATATTGTTCAATTGTGTTTGGTATAAAATTTTAAGATAAAAACAAATTTATGAACAGTAAAATACAGTATGAACAATATCGTATGAACAGTGATGAACAGTACCTTGTTATAGTACCCCGAATATTAAAATTTCCATATTACAAATAGGGAACTGATTCTCCTGCTACAGGGAACCGATTCCCCTACTACAGTACTGCTACAGTACTTCCATAAAATACGTATAAATTCATAAAATTTAAAACGTTCATCATCTTTCATTCACCATTTACAAATATATGTTTAAAACAATGCAAAATTCAATAATATGATTTTAACAAAACCGATTAAAACATATCGGATTCAAATCTTTGTTTACATGCCAACCACTATAAGTATTACAAAATACATGCCATTAACTTCTTTTCTGATCTGATCTTTGAAAAGGAGGAACTGACCTGTCTTGCATAACTTTGATCAATCTTCTCTTTTTCGCTTTCCAAACCTACTTATGAAACAATCACACGCTAAGTCGATGACTTAGTGAGGCATATAAAACATATAGTATAACCATATACCATTTCATATAAACAAAAGCATACATCTGCAAATACTATCATATCATATAAAAGCATATCTTCCATTGTATAACCAATGCACACATATACATTTATCAGTAATCATATTATTATCACTAATTCATTTTTATCATATAAGCATATGTTGAACATTTCCATATACATCATGGAACACATTTATCATTTCATAACAAAACACACGTAACATCGTATAATTCATATAATGCATTTCGTATCATAAAAACAAACATATACATCATATATATATTGTATTTGATATTATCTCTTTATTAGCCTATGGTACACTGGTGAGAACTGAAGGTATGTGAGTACATTGACGTTGTGCACAACTATGTTATCACCACAGCTCGTATAAATGTCCCGAAGAACCTATCCAAATGTCATAAAGAACCTCGACAATTATCCATAGGTCCTGAGGAACCTAGGTAAACTGTCCATATGTTCCTTAGAACATAGGTAAACTATCCATATGTCTCGAAAGACATAGGTAAACCCTCGACTCTTGTCATGCTAACTATACCACTAGCTCTCATATTACATAGCATGGGCATTATCATTTATAACAATTTACATATTCATATAAGCTCATAGCTTCGTTCACATATGCCTGTAATCATGTAATTTATTTCATGTAATTCATGTCACTTTTCATATGAATTCATGTTCATATGTCACATAGCTCATATCACTTTGCATGGATTCACATAAACATATATATCATTTGATTCATGTCTTATTCTTATATCATATATATATATCATCTATGTTTCATCAATTAATCTCATATCATATAACATGCTATATCCTCATGTGTTCACATTACATATAATGCATACAAATTATATTCACATATGCATTTACTCATGAATTCATACAAATCATATCATCTCTTGTTCTCATATATTTCCAATACATCACATAATAATCACATAACATTTTAAAAGTTACTTCTTACCATAGTAACTCCATCATTGGCTCATCGCAAGCTAATGTCCGTTCTATAAGCACAAATTAAATTGCACTCACCTTAGCCTTGCTTTGATTCGATCCTAATTCTTTGATTATTCCGGAACTTGTTTAGGCTCAATATCTACATAAATATAACATTTCAAAACAACTATCAGAATCCTAAACCTTAAACTTGATGTTGATAACTTAAGCCGGTTTAATGAACCAAAATTATATTTTTCATTTAGGGGGAATCGATAACCCCTCAGGGGGGGGAATCTGTACCCCCTGCACAATCTAAAATTTTCGTTCAAGCCCAGAAAAATCACTGTTCATGCCCGAAAATTCACTATATCAACTTAAATTCTTCATGTTTCATTCCCTTTCATATTCTTAGCTCAAATATACATACTTAAACTAATTTATATCCATTTATTTCATCTTAAACCTCAAAATTCTATTATCCATATAGAAATCAATAATCATACCAAATTTACCATGTTATCCAAACTTAATTCTAACACTTCTAACCTCTTATTCTCATAGATGACAAGTCAAATTCAACTTATCAACTTTATTTCAAGATTTCATTCAAGAACTCAAAATCTTTAATCTCTCATATACCTTTCATCTTATTGTTTTAGAACAAATTAAGCTTTCCTTAAGCTTAATTATCATTTAATGATCAAAACCCAACCTTTAATTGAACAAATAATCAACTAATGAAGAAACTTACCTTTGCCTTTGAGCTCTTATGGGAGAAGAAAGAAGAAAGGAAGAAGATGAAATGTTTTCATCTTCCCACGTTTTTATCTCCTATTAAAGGGGATAAAAATATCTTTTATTGACAATTGACCATTTTGCTCTTTAATTCTTTGGATAATTACTAACAACTTTCAAGAAATATCCCAAAATAAATCATTTAACTATTCAACTATTCTACTTTTATCCTCAAATTCCAAAATTTTACAATTTAGTCAATAACCCGGTATTGAGGATGTTACAGTACCCTAGATTCAAAAGGGTACAAATTCTCCAGTGAAGGTGGAGCTATGAAAATTTGCAATGGCTTTCTTGTTGTGATGAAATGGTAGAGAAAAACCTACCAAGTTTTAAGTTCTACAAGGTTCAACAAATTTAGATAAAGCAACTGGTGTTTCTTCCTTTGTATCAAATAACATTGTTACTGATAAAAATGTATTGGCTAAATTAAGCAAAAGAAGATTTTTTGTTGAACAAGATAACCGTGGGTAGAATAGTTATGTGAAGGAGAAAATAGTTCAATTTCGTGTGCATAACAAATTTAAAGATAGAACCATCATTGATGATCGAGATCGTATTTTGCATGATATTGCTTTCGGTGATACACTTATGAGAAAAGTTGGCACTTATGATAATCATGTCGATGTAAGAACTCCATAAAATCAAAACACAATCTTAACAACTTCGCACGGTTATTCCAACAAGACTTTGAGTCACTCGAAGTATCGAATTGTAGATTTCCGAACCACAGACAAACCTTCGTCTTAAAGCCCTATCAAAACACAAGCTTAACAACTTCGCACGGTTATTCCAACAAGACTTTGAGTCACTCAAAGTATCGAATTGTAGGATTTCGAACCACAGACAAACCTTCGTCTTAAAGCCCTCCACATCGAGCAGCACTCGGACAAAGTCGACATTGTACGCACCTTTGATTCTAGTCACCATACAGTGTTGTAACCATGACATTTCACCTTCAAGGATGTTTTTTGTGGAAAAATCCATAGAAAAATCATAGTAATGATGTTTAAGTGCCACATCGAAAACAAAATAATCTAGGTACAAGGTTAGAATAAAAGGAGAGGTAAATTTGATCCCTTTATTATGAAAAATTTTCAATATGATTATCAATTTTTTTAATTTAGTCAATCAAATAATGTAATTTTATTTTTATTATTTACAAGTTCTATTTATTTGATATAAATATTTTTTTTAATTTAATAAACTTAATTATTTAATTAAATAATGTCATTTAAATTGAAAGAAACCTCTCATGCGATTGTTAATGTGAAGACCATGGTAGAAAATTAATAATTTGGAGCCGCTGGTCTTGCAAAAAGAAAGAAAGCTTGTTATATTAAAATTTATTACATTAATAATTTCGTTAAGAAAAAGTAAAGAATTAAGATTCAATTACACAATATAAAATATTTTTAATTTTATATAAATTTAATATTTTTGAATGAGTGAAAACATATGACTAAGATTAATTTATTATTTTTTAGTGAATATTTTTTTATTTCTTACTATTATTCTAGCCATCTATTTTTATTTATTCAACTATTTTTTATAATTTTTAATAACAAGATGGAAAAGTAATTTAATGATGAAAATATGAAAATGTTGATACTTGAGTGATCAATGGGTAGTAACACACTTACACTTATCAATATCTCCCACTCTAAACGATTTTGGAGCCGTTGATCTTGCTTACTATAAACACGTGATCTCTTCAATAAATGGCAAGGCAACCGACACCCTCGCTTCCTCTGAGTCTTAAATCCATAATCTCCCTAATCTGGTAATAAAGATTGAACATTTTTTACTAAAAAAAATCTCAACTTGCTTTGGGTTCACAAATCCAAATCGCAAAACGATTAAAAGACCCAATTTTTAATTCATCTATTTTCCATCTCTTTCGTTTCACAGGCTTCACTCTAGCAGAGAAGAAAGCTATGGGGTCGGTTTCACTGAAAATTGGAGATGGAACAGCAAGATTCAAGAGAGCAACACTTTTTTCTTCAGCTGTCAACATTCTCATGCTTTTCTCCGTCATCACCACCAATCTCTTCGCTCTATACGCCTTCAATTACTCCCCAAACCACCACTTGAACAATCCATTTCACCACCCTCATAAAAACATCTCCTTGATCTCTCAACAAGTCACTCTGATCATAAAAGAGATCGATTCTTCCCAGAGGAAGCTCGCCCAGATGGAGAAAGAGCTCCTTGGTTATGAAACTCTCGATCTTTCAAGACCCAATCTTGCTGCCGAGCTCAAGCTGTTCTTGCAACACCATCGGCTTCCCCTGGGGAAGGATTCGAGAACCGGGATCACCGAGATGGTGGCTTCCGTGGGACATTCTTGCGAGAAATCCGCTGATTTGTTGACCCAGTACATGAGTTACAAGGTTTCCGGTCCTTGTCCCGATGACTGGAGTCTTGCTCAGAAGCTAATCTTGAAAGGGTGTGAACCTTTGCCTAGAAGGAGATGCTTTGCCAAGACTGTTCCTAAACCAGGTCTCTCTTTTTTACCTGCTTCTCTTTGGAAACCTGTTAATGAGAAGATTGTTACTTGGAGTGGCCTAGGTTGCAAGAATTTTAACTGTTTGAATAGTAAGAAATTGAGTACAGATTGTGTTGGTTGCTTTGATTTGGTTAATGGATTCGAGAATCAAAGATATGTTAAGGCTAGAAGCAAGATTGATTTTACCATGGATGATGTTTTAGCTATGGGGAATGGTGGGATACGGATCGGATTCGATATCGGAGGCGGGTCTGGGACTTTTGCTGCTCGAATGGCCGAGAGGAACGTCACAGTCATTACTAACGCCTTGAATCTCGATGCACCTTACTGCGAATTCATTGCTGCTAGAGGACTTTTTCCTTTGTCCTTGAGCTTGGACCATAGGTTCCCTTTCTATGATAATGTGTTTGATTTGGTTCATTCCACGAGTGGATTAGACGTTGGAGGTATACCGGAGAAATTGGAGTTTTTGATGTTTGATGTAGACCGCGTTCTAAGGGCCGGCGGCTTGTTTTGGTTAGATAACTTTTATTGTTCTGATGATGAAAAGAAGAGAGCTTTAACTCGTTTGATCGAAAGATTTGGGTACAAGAAGCTCAAATGGGTTGTAGGAGAGAGACCAGATGCAGCGGGATCCGGAAAACCTGAAATTTACCTGTCTGCTGTTTTACAAAAGCCGGTGAGAATCTGATGATCAAAGAGATTTCCCAGGAAACTGATGGATGCTAGAAAAATATAGTTCAAATTTCTACCTTTATCCACATAAAATTTGTGCAAATTTATCAGATTTCTAAGGTGGAATAAATGCTACAAAATGGTGAAGGGTGGCCTATATCTTCTGTAATCTAAAGCCCTTTTTTACCCCTTGAATCTCTCAGCATTTTACCTCATGTTGGTTATTTGAAGCAAAGAACTGTTACAAGCAATTCTTGAAGTTTTAAGGTCATATTTGATATTTCATTGTACTTCGATGTGAGTTTTCTATCGAATTACATGATTTCAGTTGACGTCTTTGAAGCATATATGGTACAACCTTAAACCTATGTTAATCTCTTGTTATAATGATCTTAAAGGATGTAATGAATCTTGGAAATATATATATATTTCTCATTACTCATCAGCATAGATTATGTTCTGATTAGTACAACTATTTGTCTGCAAGTTCATTTCCTGTTGAAAAATGTAAATTTAAAATCCGTACATTACATTTCCAACTCTACCATAGACATGCGGGTAACAATGGAGCTTTGCGGGTCAAATCTCAATCTGCAATTATACTCGGCTATGTGGAACCTTAAGAATTGCGGTGCAACCATCCGAATTGGAGCCATTGATGCCTTGCACTGTTGAGCAGCTTCATCCCCTCTTCACTCATCTGTTGTACTTCAGTAGGGGATAGAATTCGGATGCATCTAACACACCCGACGAATTCCCTGCTCATATATAATGAAATCATTAGAAAGTGAATGTTAATGTCCCGGTCGACAGTTCGACCGATGAATATAAAAAGTTTGCAGATAAACTTACTCCCAAGGATCATCCCCGATGAGAAGAACATCGTTCTCGTAATCCACATATACCAATTTCCATCCTGAACCTTTGGGATCATCCAGCAGACCTTTAAGTCCAAACATGCATTCAATTGCAGAGATTAGTTCATCATAGTTCTTAAAACTCGTGACATCGATCGACCTTCCTACAGATCCTGCCTTCTGAACCTGTCGGCAACGGACCAAGAAGAGTTATAAATGAATCCTAACTACACAATCTGCAAGTAACTTCGATGCCTCAAGAATTTAAATTTCCAGAATCCAAATTGAGATTATCATACCTTTGTATATGTTCTAACGAGTGGAGCTGTTGTTTGCTTCCAGGAATTGTTTTGCAGAAGGCCACTCTCGTCGAAATCAATGTTGCTACGAGACGTGCCACCAGAGCTGTCGAGCAAGTCTTGTCGAGAGAAAGCTTGAGAATCCGCAAGACTATTAGAGGTAATCTGAGATTGAACATCTTGACAAGAACTCAAGTTCCCAACCAAACAATCTGAAGGGTTTTGAAAATCGGCACCCTTCAATGTGCAAAACTCATCTAGAATGGCATTGGCCACGAACGGATCGATCACAGTACTGCCACCATTACTGAAATCGACGTTTAGACTGCTATATATCCCACTTTGATTATTGCTGTCAACAGATAAATCCCTCACCCCACCAGAATTGAGACTGTGCGGACCGTGCTGAGTGAACGAAGTCAATTGGTCGGCTTGTGATAAAAGCCTGCAATTATTCAGCTTCTGGTCCCACATGTTCTGACCTACTGTAGTTAACAAAGCATCGGTTTCAACAGGAAAAGCAGCTGCAGAGTCTTGTAACCCAACCATCGGTAACGTACCTGGTGATTTATATAACCCAGCAAAAGGTTGGCAAGAAGAAAGGTTCGACGTCCACTCATCAGTGTCTGAAAAAGGAAGAAAGCTGTTTAAGGTGCTAAGATCAGCTTGGGATGCAAGCATTTGATGAGCTTGGAGGACTGATGAATCCAACGGGGTCTGAACCGGCCATGGATTATTTTGCACTTGGAGGGGAACCTGGTTCGGGTTTGGGAAAGAAGGTTGGTTCAACATAGTCGGACTCGTAGCATTTACCACCAAATTTTCCTCATTGCATTCAGATGCCGAAGTCAACTGCTCGGCCAAATGCTTTGATTCCGACTCTGTCTTTTCATTACTGCTCCCAGTCCCAGCTTGTGTTAGGCTTTCAAACTTGTTTGCTGGATGTGGATTCCCATTAGCATTGATTTTGGATATATTCGAGTTGATGGGATCCGATTGGTCAGGGACCACGTTAGGAAGATTTTGGCTCTCGATCGACATGTTTTCCGAATGGATAAGCTGAGGTTTTTGGTTGCTTCTAGGCTGCAAGCTCTTCATTTCTTCTAATGGAGATGGCTTATCATCAGTACTGAATTGTTGTAAAGCAGATGCAAAAATTCCAGGATGGTTAACAAGCTGAGGCTTCAGCATCATCTTCATCAGTTGCTCAGAACATAAATTCGAGATCGTATAGGGAATATTCCCATTTCCATTTTCAGGTAACTGGAGTAGGGGCCTTTTCATCAAGCTTCCCCATTCGGATTCCGTTCCTGTGAGCATAAAAAAAAAGAAACAAACACCAAGATAAGCATCTAAAAAAGTTGTCCACCACTCAAATATTACAAACGGAAGCCTACCAGAAAATCCAGGATATAATGGTCGCTTGAGACCTGATGTTAAGGACGGAAAAATAAAGAGGCTTTCTGGAGTTTCGATTTCCCATGCGCTCACCCTATTCTGCTTATCGTTACATCCAGGTTCATCCCATTCAACCTGTTTCGAGAATGAATACGATAAGTTCCGCTTTTAAACCGACCAGCAAGTAAAGCTTTACATTAAACAGTATTCAGTTCGATGAAAACAAACCTGGAGGTTTCGCCACTTCGAGCCAGGCCATCTCAGAGGATCCAAGTCGCTAATACCACCTATTGTACCCATATATCTGCAGAAATTTGAGAAACATATTGGATAATTACACCATATGATTATTATGCACAAAATTTCTTTAACGCCTTAAGGTTGGAAACAACATGGTCAGAGGATGAAAAAATATTTAGTAACTTACCGACGTTTACCGGACTCTTCTGTTTCAAACATCATTCCAAACCTCATACCAACTGCTACTTGAGATCCATATACCGATTTACGGTATTTAGCCAAAGGGATGACAAATTCCGAAGGGCAAGCTCTACAAAGAAATCATGAAATAGATAATGTAACTGCAAGAGTGGCAAAAGGAGATGAAGTGGTAGGATATGAATGTTACGCACCTTGGATTGTAAAATATTGTGAATGGGCTTCTATTGGCGGTAGCATGAGCAGCGGCAGCAAGGACACCAATGTGCATACTATCAGCAGATAGAACTGATGATGGCAATGTTGTTTGTTGGCGAACCGCACGCCTTACACCCACCATTAACTGTGACTTCTCATCCCTGCAACAAACAAGATATAATCATGAACTTAGCAGTTAAAATATCTTGCACCAAACATATGCTAGTATGTGACTATGCCATACCTGATAAAGAGAACAGAATCACCTGCCCTAAGCCTTTTCGATCCTACAAACAAGCTCCACCCGGTTGTAAGAAGGTGTCTTTTCGGCTGCCCTGTACAAAGAACATCATACATTACACTCAAAATACACTGTCAAAAATATATCTTTTACAGATTTACACATCTTGCCTAGTTCTAGTTATTGAATAAGATTATTTGCTCAAACAGACGGTAAATAATCAATAGAACACTCACCGCGGTATATATGGCGAAATGTCCAGGTATTATCATGCAAATCTCTCACAACTAGCTCTTGAGTAGGGGGTTGCATGGTGAAATCCTGAGAAACAGATAAAAATAGTCATGCAAATTCTCATAATGTCCCTTCATGATCATGCATAACAACAACACTTTGAGCAGCCTACGAGAACCTTACCAACGGAGGAAAGAGCTTCTCAGCTGCTCTACGTGGCACTGAAAAACCACCATGCGTACTCGTATCACTTGCAGTCAAGGTTTTGCAGAAAAATTCATTTGGATGCCTGCTCAGATTCAACCCAAAGTCCGGTATATGGTACACATCTTTTTCCTAATGAAAGTTAAATCTCATAAGTGAGAACGGTCACATCTTTTTATCACATCTAAATATATACGGTAAATTCATAAGAGTTTGAGAAGTGTATATTTATCCAGCTAGATAAGCTTACAGAGTTCACTGGTTGAAGACTCAATTGAGCATATATTTCATCGCTATCTCTGTCGGCCTGTCAAAGATTACCAGAAAAATAGCATTGTTTATTTAGAAAAATGATATACATGACATGATCATACTTAAAAGTCCGATTCATATATAAATGACATACATGTAATGTGACATTATGAACTTGGCACATTAACTGAGAAGGAAGGTTTGGATAGTTGGGAATTTGAGAGGTCGCCATTCTTTTTGTGGACACTGCTACCTGTTAAAAAAAAACACCATTACTCCTTTAGTTATTGTCTAAATACATAACAAAATAATATCAAAACAATACAGAAAGCAAAGCATGTTATCAAGGTTGAATGCTTTAAGGTCTCATCATGTTGATGCTAATAAATGTCAAAAAAATAGACAAGGAAAAATGATGCAACAGAAACAAGACAACTGATAATCAAATGTGAGGGATAAATGCAAACCTGTTCGCTGTGTCCTTGAGGGAAGTAATACACGAGACTTCCCACCTGAGGCAAAGAAGCAAGTGGACCAGCACAGGCATGCCATAACTCAGAATTTATAGCCTTACGGCTGCCTGAGATCAATCAGGAAAAACAAATCCATCACACAGAGATTACCTTATTAACACTTTTGAAAGACTTAAATGCGTCTCCATTAAAGTCAGGTAATAAATGACTTTAACATCTTTAATTTGTAAGCTTATATGTTGAAGAGAAGAAAGTCAATGGTTCTTCCATATTGGATTAAGACTAAAACAGATCATGTTTGAATTGACAAAAAAACATAAAAAGAACAAATTTTGTGTAAAAACAAACCAGGTTGGGCTTGCATTTCTTTCAACAGCTTCATTTCTTCAAGCAGGGTCGACTGTGTCCCTCCATTAACCAAAGCTCTCGGTCTGATCTTCTCTTCAACAACAGAACCCATCTTTGCTAAAAGAATTCTTCTTTTTTTTGGACTCTTTTTACAAATACACACCAACCACCATAAGAACATAAAACAAAGACCCCACCTTTACATCTTCACTAAAGGAAAAACAAAAGACCCTGAACTTACAAAAAGAGAATAAACAAATTCCCTTCCCCATTTCTCCAAGCAAAAATCACGTACAGAATATTTTACATAGGAGACAAATTATCTAAAGGGTAGAAAAAGGTCACCAATTGG